AAAACTTTTCACATCTCTCCCTGCTTTGCCTTTGGGTTTTTTCCTCCTGGAAAAGCACTGGTTCCTCCTTTTCCCTGCCCCATCCCCCAGCCAAGCATTTTATGGGGATATGCTGAGCATTTTAGGAAGGGGTTGGCAGAAAGAATGCTGATGGGTTGGATAGTGGCAAAGTCATGAACACCCTCTCATTTTCCCTCCCAGCCTCTCCTTAAATTGAGTCCCCCCCATAAGGGAGAGACAGACACCTTTCAAGACCAAAGCAGCCTTTGCTCCCCATCTCCAGGAAAGATCCTCCCGCCCCTGCCGGCTGGCAGGGTCCACAATCTTACCAGGCCGAATCTTGCGGCCACATTGGGAGGGGGAGGGGGCCTCCGGCCCAGGCTGTGCCATTCCTGTCTCAACAGGCACTCGTCAGGGCCGCCATTCCTGCCTCAACAGGGAGTCGTCAGGGCCCTCGTTCTAGCTGGATCCCTTGCTGCAGGCGCTTGGATGCTTTGTGACGCGTCGCCATGGAGACGCGGGTCAGTTCTGTGAGGCTCAGCCGGAGGGAGGCAGTGCAGAGGCTGGGGAACCAGGTGTGGAAAGCAAGATGTGCTTCCAGCAATATGGATATCTTGCCTTGATGGATTCATATAGCTTTCTTAAACACTGTCTTGTGTATGTGAGGAGATGAACACAAGGGGAGTAGATAGAAGAGAAAGAGACATTGTCAGATTTTCAATGGCAAAGTTTCATTTATTCATAACTTTCAGTTTAAGCAAAAGAGGGCAAAGTTGTCACAGATGTTTGCAATAAGTAGGAACCAAGCAAGAAGACAAAGTCACAGGGAATCTCGTGTAGGTAGAACCAGAACCAGAGTTCCTGAGAGAATTTCATGCTCCCCAGCGGATCATCCCGCACAGGAATTAGGAGGGGACAGGAGAGTGAAAAATGTCCTTGGGAACAGGAGCCGGCAGGCGAGTTTGTGATCTTCCTCTCCATATGGTAGGTCCATCGTGCTTTGTAATTCTTTTGCCCCTGCAGTGGAAACTGTCTCACCCCATATGTGTTAGAGTTTTCCCAGAATGTGGAAGGTTTTTATCTTTATATTCTTGGCAACTAGCTGATAATTTGACACATAGTAGGTGCTTAGTAATATTGAATGCCTCCAGGTTAGGACACAGATATTTCCCCCTTAGATGCAAAGAGGAGACATTAGGTGAGACTGCTGGCAGCATGTTTAGAAAGTAATTTACACCAGCGGTTGCCAACCTTTTGGACCGCATGGACCACCAGTGGTCTACAGACCACCAGTTGGCGACCACTGATTTACACCATTCCTTATCCTTAAAGGGTTGTTCTAATATAGGAACTTAGAGGAACAGTGAAATGGAACAAAGGGAGTTGCCAAAGGACATAGAATAGGCATCTAAGTAAGGATTCCAAGTAGATGTGCAGAGAATTTCTTTAAAATGAGGACCTAAACCAGCATGTTCTGAAAGTTGAGTCTTATCCATATAATGGAATAGAACATATATTGGGCTCTCAAATTTTATAGCAATGAATGGTGGAACACATTAGAAGGCATAGACTTCTGTCAATGTTATTAAAAGGAATGAATCTAAGTTAGGACTTAGTAGTGACATCTAAATTAAGAACGTAACACCCAATAACTAGGTCTGGAATTGGAGAGCTAATTACCATAGCATAATTTAAGAGAAATGCATTTCTTAAAATAGAGCAGTGAGTATGTAGAATTTAAAAGTGAATTCTTATTAATATCTTACTTGTCTTATTTGTCTCCTCCTGGGTAAGCTGTAAAGTGGTGGGGTTCACACTGAATGGAGAGCTCCTTGTACTTCCTCCCTGGGGGCCCTTGGGGTAAAGCAGACTTCTCTGAGCCTGTTTCTTTGTCTGTAAAATGAGTTTACTAGCACCTACCTCACCAGGCTGTAAAATCAATAATACTTCTCACAATAATTTATAAATTTTAAAGCCACACGAACCTAAGGTCTTACTCCTCTGTCTTACTGCTATTCTGATCTTCATTCTTTTTATCATTTATTTCTGCTTTAAAATGAATTTTGGGGACAGGTGTATTTTATTATAAGCATTATAGCACAGGGCAGGAGGCATCCTGCCTTTGAATTTGTATTGCTTGAAGCAATCCCTTTCAATGATAAAGTGTTTTTTTTCTTTTCTTTTTTTTTTCTTTCCATCCATAAACACCTACTATGCACTAGAACGAGCTGCATATGACATTAAGGGCAACACCCGGGAATTATGGGAGTTTGAGGAGGTTGTTCTAGAAGAGGAAATGTCTTAGCTGAGTTCTCCCAGATGCTTGGGAGGTAGCCAGGGAAA